CTCTCTCACGTGTGAAGGAAGAGCGAATCGGCATCAACAACGAGTCAACCGCGGCTGCATGGCAAAACAGCTAGAATCTGAAACGCAAAGGGCGTGCACGTCGACCATGCCATGATAATCATGTCAGTGGGTGCCAATCTAGGAAGGCAAGCTCAAAACCCGACACCCTACATCCTCAACCAAAACAACCTACACCGACAAGGGAGGAGCATCCAAAGCCGTACCGCCCTCCCCCCCCCCCAAAAAAAAAAAAATATATATATATATATATATATATATAATATAAATAAACAAAAGAATAACATAAAGACCTCAAGCCCCTTTACCGAAGCAACTAAAGAAGCTTAAGCCCTGAAAGCCTCTGCCACAAGCAACTCAAGAATCAAGAACCCGAAACAAACCCTAAACCCTAAACCCTAAATCCTAAACCCTAAACCCCCACCAAGGAAGAACCTCTAACACCCACGCAGCCTCATGCTTAGGGCATACGCCACAGCCCGCTCCGCAGGCAACTAAAAACCTGGAGAGGGAGGAGGGAAGGGAAGGAGTTTAGGGATTAGAGTTTAGGGGTTTGGGGGTTTGGGGTTTGGGGTTTAGGGTTTAGGGTTTGGGGTTTGGGGTTTAGGATTTGGGGCCGGCGGAGGGTTTCTTTTTTTGCAAAGGTGTGGCTCGGCCCTGTCCTCTTGCAAAGGTGTGGCTTGGCTTGGCTTCCCCTCCACGTCCCACCCACCCCCCCCTCCACCCCTCCCACCCCCCCCCACCCCCCCCACCCCCCCCCCCCCCCCCCCCCCCCCCCCCCCCCCACCCCCCTCCCCACTCCCCCCCACCCCCCACTCTCACCACCCCGACTCCCTCCCCCTTATTTGCAAACTCAATGCTTGCCTCTAGGTTTCAAAAAAACTCATATGCTTTGAAACAAGCTTGCACGGCTTTCAGAAGCGGGGGGTTGGGGGGGGCGCAGCCCCCCCCCATTTGAAAACTCAATGCTTGCATCATGGGTTTCAAAAAGACTCTTATGCTTTGATGCAAGCTTGCACGGCTTAAAAAAGCGGGGGGGTTGGGGGGGGCGCAGCCCCCCCCATTTGCAAACTCAATGCTTGCATCATGGGTTCCAACACCGGGGGGGCCATTTGCAAACTTAATGCTTGCATCATGGGTTTCAACAAGACTCATATGCTTTGACGCAAGCTTGCACGGCTTAAAAAAGCGGGGGGGTTGGGGGGGGCGCAGCCCCCCCCATTTGCAAACTCAATGCTTGCATCATGGGTTTCAACAAGACTCATATGCTTTGACGCAAGCTTGCACGGCTCAAAAAAAGCGGGGGGGTTGGGGGGGGCGCAGCCCCCCCATTTGCAAACTCAATGCTTGCATCATGGGTTTCAACAAGAATCATATGCTTTGACGCAAGCTTGCACGGCTCAAAAAAAGCGGGGGGGTTGGGGGGGGCGCAGCCCCCCCCCATTTGCAAACTCAATGCTTGCATCATGGGTTTCAACAAGACTCATATGCTTTGACGCAAGCTTGCACGGCTTAAAAAAGCGGGGGGGGTTGGGGGGGCGCAGCCATTTGCAAACTCAATGCTTGCGCATACTACATATATACACTCCACGTATTTCTACCAGCTACAGCTACATCGCGGTAAAAAGAATCTTTGCGACTGGGGAGAACAGGGAAATCAAAACGAAGTCGGCACCCAAGCCAGGCCAAGCCGAGCCAAGCCGAGCCAAGCCACGCCGAGCCAAGCCAAGCCAAGCCAGCCAGGCCAAGCCAAGCCGAGCCGAGCCCACCCGAGCCAAGCCAAGCCAAGGAGCCAAGCCAACGAAAGCCAAGCCGAGCCAAGCCAAGCCAGAGGACAAGCCGAGCCAAGCCAAGCCAAGCCCAGCCGAGCCAAGCCAAGCCAAGCCAGCCAAGCCAACCAAAGCCAAGCCAAGCCAGACAAGCCGAGCCAAGCCAGGTCAGAGGACACGCCCAGCCAAGCCAAGCCAAGCCAAGCCACACCTTTGCAAGGGGACAGGGCCGAGCCACACCTTTGCAAAAAAAAAAAAAACCGGACCCATTTGGGGCCCTAAACCCTAAACCCTAAACCCTAGACCCGAAACCCTGAACCCTCTAAAAGGTTTAGGGCCTTGGGCTTCCGAGGCCTCAGGCACACCCTTCAGCTCTCAAGCCCCCCTTACTCCAGAAGCCCTCAATCGCAAAGTGCCCTTGCGGAGAAACACCCAAACCCTAACCTCAAACCCCTAGCCCCTAAACCCCCAAACCCCTAAAAACCCTCAACCCCAAATCCCCACATCCACTATTGTCCCGTTTGGGTACCCTAAATACCCCTAAACCCTAAACCCTTAACCCTAAACCCCCAAAACCCCCGTATCCGCGTGAGCCGAGGCGCTGCGCCGCCTCGGCCAGGTCCTGGGCATCACCCAGAAGCTGGCGCGCGGCAAGGACGAGCCTCGAGTCTGAAGGGGCCCTTCAGCGGCATGTTTAGGGGTGTAGGGGTGTGGGGGTGTAGGGTTTAGGGTTTAGGGTTTAGGGTTTAGGGTTTAGGGTTTAGGGTTTAGGGTTTAGGGTTTAGGGTTTAGGGCTCAGGGGTTAGGGGTTAGGGGTTGGGGGTTAGGGGTTTGGGGTTTGGGGTTTCAGGAGTCGAAGGCTGAAGCTGCGCCGCGCTGTGCCCAAATGCCGCCCTGGCACCTCCAAAACGGCCCCCAAACACCTTCTGCAGGGTCACCGCCTTGCGTCCCTCAACAAAAACCCTAAACCCTCAACCCTAAAACCCTAAAACCCTAGACCCTAGACCCTAGACCCTAAACCCTAAACCCTAAACCCTAAACCCTAAACCCTAAACCCTAAACCCTAAACCCTAAACCCTAAACCCTAAACCCTAAACCCTAAACCCTAAACCCTAAACCCTAAACCCTAAACCCCAACCCCCTAAACCCTAAACCCTCAACCCTTGAACCCCTTTCATTGAGACCGACGCAAGCTGTAGCTGAGTCCCGGGAGGCTGGCAGACAGGCCGCTGAGCTCCTGACCAGCCGGCTTATCCCAAGACACACCTTTGGGACTGGGTTGCCCTGAACCCTAAACCCTAAACCCGAAACCCGAAACCCTAAACCCGAAACCCGAAACCCTTAAACCCTTAAACCCTAAACCCTAAACCCTAAACCCTAAACCCGAACCCTTGACTGCACAATCCTGCGGAACGAGGGGACGCTGGTTAGGGTTTAGGGTTTAGGGTTTAGGGTTTAGGGTTTAGGGTTTAGGGTTTAGGGTTTCGGGATTTGGGTTTAGGGTTTAGGGTTTAGGGATTAGGGTTTAGGGTTTAGGGTTAGGGTTTAGGGTTTAGGGTTTAGGGTTTAGGGTTTAGGGTTTAGGGCTTGGGGCTTAGGGCTTAGGGTTTATGGTTTATGGTTAGGGTTCGTAGGGGAGCTTTAGGGCGCCAGGCCTCAAAGAGCCCAGCGAGGAAAGAGATGATGTCATCGCCAGACCTTGGGCTACGATCAGCTCTTCATTCTCCCCGAAACCCGGTTTTTAAAAAAGAAACAATCATGATAATAATTAAGAATGAATAATAATAAGAAGAAGAATCAGAAGAATAAGAACCATTATATACACCAGGCAAACCCTAAACTCTAATCCCTAAACCCTAAGCCCGGTATAGCAACCCCAAAGGAAACCTCGGGCACCAAACCCTGAAGGTCCTCCCACATGGTTGAACTTGCGATTTGAGAATCTCTAGCTTTAGGGATTAAGTTTAAGGTTTAGGGTTTAAAGTTTATGGTTTAGGGAGTTTAGGGTTCAGGGTTCAACATGTAAGCTCTCGGGCGTAGGCTACAGCGTCGCGACTTGCACCTGCCCCTAAACCCTAAACCCTAAACCCTAAACCCTAAACCCTAAACCCTAAACCCTAAACCCTAAACCCCGAACCCTAAACCCTAAACCCTAAAGCTTCAGGGCTTTGCGGCCTGGGGTTGGACTTTGAGGGCAGCTCGCGGGCTCAGGGGATGATCCCCTAAACCCTAAACCCTAAACCCTAAACCCTAAACCCTAAACCCTGAAAGGGTTTAGAGCTTCGAAGCGCCGCTGCCCCCAACTGCCGGCAAAGTGGCTGCTGAATGAGCTGCGCACAGGGCGAGGTGGCGAGGCGCGCGGCCAGGTGCATTCTTCGAAGTTCATGGACCCGCTTTTTTGTGAAGGGCAACTGTACTTTGGAGCCTAAACCCTAAACCCTAAACCCTTAACCCTATATACTAAACCCTAAACCCTAAACCCTAAACCCTAAACCCTAAACCCTAATTAAGGTACATGTACCCCTGATGTCTACCCTCTACCCATGAACTGCTATGAGCCTCCAAGTAGGAATGCTTTCTGATAGCATGCCAAGCCGCGAGACCCTGGAGGCCTAGACCGGTTTAGGGTCTAGGGTTTAGGGTTTAGGGTTTAGGGTTTAGGGTTTAGGGTTTAGGGTTTAGGGTTTAGGGTTTAGGGTTTAGGGTTTAGGGTTTAGGGTTTAGGGGGCTCTAGGCGCTTGCTAGCCCAGTAACCATCTTTTGATAAGGCTACCCTTTTCTGTTGTTGGTTGCTTTATATAAGGGGCCTATAACCTGCAAAACATGGGCAAATGGGCACCGCCGGGCTACCAAGGTTCTAGCGATGGTCACACCCTAAACCCTAAACCCTAAACCCTAAACCCTAAACCCTAAACCCTAAACCCTAAACCCTAAACCCTAAACCCTTGGGCCTTGTTTTGCAGAACTTGGCGAACACCCCGGGCTTCAAAACCTAACCATGAGGCGGCCCAGGATGCGCTGGCCCGTGTGATGGGCCACTTTGCGCCGTGGTGGCGCGTGTCTCGAGTTAAACTTGAAACCCCTAAACCCTAAACCCTAAACCCCAAACCCGAAACCCTAAACCCTAAACCCGAAACCCTAAACCCTAAACCCGAAACCCGAAACCCTAAACCCGAAACCCTAAACCCTAAACCCTAAACCCACTTCGAGGGCTCAGATTTCTACCAGGTCTTCTTCGAGGTCGCCATGGCTGCCCTTCGAGGCCTTCGCTCGCGCTGCCATGGCCCCCACATCGTGCAGGAGCGCCTGAGCATCCTTAGGGTTTAGGGTTTAGGGTTTAGGGTTTAGGGTTTAGGGTTTAGGGTTTAGGGTTTAGGGTTTAGGGTTTAGGGTTTAGGGTTTAGGGTTTAGGGTTTAGGGTTTAGGGTTTAGGGTTTAGGGTTTAGGGCGAGCGCCTGAGCATCCTTACATCCCGCAAAAAGCCCGTCGGAGCCCAGCAAGAGCTGCTGCAGGCGCCGGTTGAAGTCTGCAATGTCAGAGGATGAGCCAATCTTGTTAAGAATCCCAGCTTTGTCCTCAGGCCTTGAAGCGGAGCAATCTTCGACTCGAAGCGATTCCAGTTGCGCAGAGTTCTCTTCGAGAACTTTGTAGGAATGAAGAATGACATGCTGCTCCATCCGGCTGGCATTGGCCTGGACAAGCTCTGCGATGCACCAAGCCCGCGAGAAGAGGTCAAATTTCTTGTCGGTTGCAACAACTTGCAAGAAGCGGTGGTTATAGCAATGGTAAAGGTGAGCCATCATGTTATCAAACTTGTTGAGCTCACATTGAATAGGAGAATCATTTAAGTGTTTTGGTGTAGCACAGTCACAAGACGGCAACAACTCGCCAGTGACAGTGTCTCGCGCTCCCGTCACAACGTCGCAGATGCTGGCATGCTGGTTAATGCCTTGCATGGCCCTTAAAGCCCTCACCTCTGAAAACATTTCAAAACACAATCCTCTCAAACGCAGTAAGGGAAAAGACTAAATCTCCTAAGAACCTACCCTAAACCCTAAACCCTAGACCCTAAACCCTAAACCCTACACCCTACACCCTAAACCCTAAACCCTAAACCCTAAACCCAGGCGCAGAAGGCACAGATCCAGTACTCCCAATGCAGGGAGCCCTGGCTGTGAAGCCTGGCTTTCAACGCCTCCTCGGTTTAGGGTTGAGGGTTTAGGGTTTAGGGTTTAGGGTTGAGGGTTGAGGGTTTAGGGTTTAGGGTTTAGGGTTTAGGGTTTAGGGCTTATTACTTTTAACTTACTTTTTTTTTTTTGGGGGGGGGGGGGGGTTCTGAAGCAAATAGTAGTCCTGTCTGCTAGAGGACAGCTCCTCGGCGATGCTGTCCCAGCGCTTCAGGCCTAAAGGGGTTTTGGGGTTTGGGGTTTAGGGTGCAGGGTTTCGGGTTTAGGGTTTCGGGTTTGGCGCTCCAGGCCTAAACTGTCTGCAACAACTGCAGCGAGGAGGTCTCTAAACCTGTTGGCCCAGTGGTGCGTCACCATGCGGACGGTTGCTGATGAGCTGGGAAGACACCGAGACTCAGATGAAGCCAACACTTCAGCCAGTGCCTTGCCCCTATCACCTTAGGGTTCTTCAGTGACCCAGGGAAAAGTCGCACATCCTTTTTGGGCTACCGAGTATAGGAAACCCGGAACCCCAAAAAATGTAAAGACGTATACTACTGAGCAGCCTAGTCACCGCAGCGTGACTGCGGGATAACGGCCTGCCGCACGACCTCATGTGTGGTGGACCGCGCTGGGTCATAATGTGGCATGAGCCGCTGCCTCTGATTCCTGCCCGCAAGCTGGGTGTAGAAGTCCAGGAGCTGGTTGACAGACATGCGGCGACTTGCTATCGCCCTCACCTTCTCATCCCAGGCACATCGATCGCAGGCCGGGTTTGCAGTGTCACTGCCCAGGGTGGCGATCCAATGGCGACCCCCCGAGAACTGAGACAGCGTCTGTCCCACTGGGTCCGCCCCCTTGGCCACAGGCGCCGAAACGTGAAGTCGGAACGCTAGAATCTCCGCTACAACCCTAAACCCTAACCCCTAAACCCCCTAAACCCTATACCCTCTGAACCCGAAGCCAGTGCCCACAGGCGCCTGAAGGCGCGGTTTTTCGGGGCTTCGGGTTGGGGTTTGGGGTTCAAGGGCTTAAGGTTTCGACGAAGCCGAGTCGCAGGCCCGGCCTCCTCCTCCTCGCGCAGGGACCCCCTCCTCTTGCCCACGCGCCCGCAGGTGCACACCAAGTGCGCCTGCGCGCGCTCATCCCGAAGCCCAGGGCTCGAGGCGATCGCCTTGGGTGCGGACCTCCAGGGGTAGAAGGAGGGACCCCTAGAAGGGACCCTCAAAATCTTCTTCCCTTCTATAGACCCCTGTATGCACCTTATGGAGTCCCTATATGCCTAAGTAGCCCCTAATTATCTCCAAGGTCCCTTATACGGGTCCCTCCTTTAGTCCCTTGATGGCCGCCTCGGGATGTTGAGTGAACCACTGGTGAGGAGGGCCAGGCCGAGGGCATTTCCTTGGTAGCCCAGGAAAGCACATTTTAAAAAGGGGCACCCTTTTTTAAGGTTTTTTAGGGTATAGGGTTTAGGGTTTGGGCTTAGGTGGCTTGGTTGCTTCATAAAAGGGGACTCAGAACCTAAAAAAAAAAACAAGGTGAAGGGTACCACCCGGGCTACCAAGCTTCCGACAGCGCTGAGCAGGGAGCTGTAGGACCCCAGCGTGTAGAGCGTGGGGTTCAAGATCAAGCCGTTGGCAAAGGCAAGGATGCACAGGAAGAACCTTAGTTGTCCGGTATCCGAGGGGGGAACCACATGTTAACCTTTGGGATTTTAGAGGGAACAGAATACCCCAAAAAAGTTGAAGGTTGCCTACTCTACTAAGGAACACAGTGGTCAAGTTTCTCAATACGATGGCTGCCTGAAATCGCCGTAGGGTGCTCTTTGCAATCTTCAACTTCTCCAGAGGCGCCCCAGTGTCATCATCGCACATGGCGCCCTGCAAAGCTCGTAGGGGGACGCCCAGGGCTAAGAATTCCAGCGCCGTCAGGGCAATGAGCGCCAAGGCTACAATCACGCCGGCCTGCAAGAACAGGAGTGGCAGACGCAGGATAGCGGCCGACACAATGGTCATGGCAACGACAAAGTGATTCAGATAGACAATCGTAGTGAAACGAGGCAGAGGTTCCCCAAAGGCTGCTTCCAGGGCCCTCATCATCTTCACGACGATCTGCAGAAACCAGTTGCCAGACAGAAAAAACAAGAGTGTGCCAGAGACTTCCATTCCTGCTGCAAGCGATTCCTGCAAGTTGGCCGAACCCTCGAGAATCGAATCTCTGACCCCATCCTCGTTGACATCCGCACCGGTGCAGGCATTCCATGTCATTCCCAGGGTTATCACAACTTGACTCATGTAGAGGCAAAGACAGCACCGAATGCAGTGGCGGATGTAAGTTGATGGTGGGTGGTCGGCCAACAGTAGAAAGATTCCAATCAGGGTCAGACACCAGTTCACCCCGTAGCGAACGCAGAGCATGGCCCACAAGTGATCAAACGTGTAGCCCTGTGAGTTCATCATGCTTGTATCGAAAGCACGACAGCTGTCCAACCCACCCAGGAACAGCCAGGCACTGGCTGTGACGACGCAAGTGCAAACCAGCATCCCAGCTACCAAGAACACGCGGAGCTGCAAGCGGTATGGAGACGACTGGCTTCTCAGAACGTAGTAGCCGAAGAAATATGCGCACACCGCGAGGGCAATGCAGCCACCTGTTGCCTCTACTGAACTTGGAACCCCAGCAAAAACCATGGTCTTAGCAGGTTTCTTAGGAAGATTACAGTACCAAAACACTAAAACCCTTACTTGCCAAGAATATCCCCAAGTTGCATGATTTCTTAGGAAGATTATAGTACCCAAAAACCCTAAACCCTAAACCCTAAACCCGAAAACAGCAAACCCTTACTTGCCAAGAATATCCCTAAGTTGCATGAACAAAGAGCAACCCAACTCCAAGAGCTGAGGATACAGCTGCTGTTGTCCATGGCAGCTCCAGGAGCATGCCGCGCCGGCACAGTACCATGGTTTAGGGTTTAGGGTTTAGGGTTTAGGGTTTAGGGTTTAGGGTTTAGGGTTTAGGGTTTAGGGTTTAGGGTTTAGGGTTTTAGGGTTTAGGGTTTAGGGTTTAGGGTTTAGGGTTTTAGGGTTTTAGGGTTCAGGGGTTTAGGGTTTAGGGTTTAGGGTTTAGGGTTTAGGGTTTAGGGTGATGGGTTTTAGGGTTTAGGGTTTAGGGTTTTAGGGTTTAGGGTTTGGGGTTTTAGGGTTTATCACCAGACCATGAAGGTCAGAAAAGAAAGCTCAGCAGAAAATAACCCGAGCTGCGAGCATAATAACTACTACTTGTCGCCACAAGTATGGCGCACAGAACCTTACGGAGTCCCCGAATTCCTCCAAGTGAATCAACCAGGGTAGGTTCCCAAATTGGGCCCCCTTTTGGGTACCCATTACAAGGCGGCACCCTTTGAAAAGGGATCTCAAAAAGGGGGCCCTAGCTTAGAGAACTAAACCCTAAACCCTAAACCAAAAACCCACCAGCCTGTAAGTCCGGTCAAGTTGGGCGTTGATTTTGGAACCCTCAATTAGACCCTATGGGCGCTTCCGAAAGTAGGGGCCCTAAACCCTAAACCGTAAACCCTAGACCCTAAGCCCTAAACCCTAAACCCTAAACCCTAAACCCTAAACTTACTGTGGTCCTTATTACAAGGGAATCTCACGATACGGGGGGGGGGGGGGGGGGGGTCTCTATGAGCTAGACCCAGTAACCTATGAGTTTAAAAGGTTCCCTTTTTGGTTTAAAGGGGGTGCTAAGGGAACCCTAAACCCTAAACCCTAAACCCCAAACCCTAAACCCTGAACCCTAAACCCTAAACCCCCGCCCCCACCCAAAAAAAAGAAATAGACGGGTCCTTGATGGAAGCCCCCTCCCCGCCCAAAAAGAACAGCGTAAAATGTCTTCGAGGCCTCCCTTTAGTTTCAGGGTTTAGGGTTTAGGATGTAGGGTTTAGGGTTTAGGGTTTAGGATTTAGGGTTTAGGGTTTAGGGCTTAGGGTTTAGGGTTTAGGGTTTAGGGTTTAGGGTTCAGGGTTTAGGGTTTAGGCAATATGTTCTTCGGGGCTTAGGGTCGGGTTAACGCCCTTTCGGCGAACTTGTTTTGGGTAGGTGTTGCCGCTGGCTTTGTCACTCTAGTGACTCTTGTGTGACTTTTATTCAGGGGTCCTCCAACCGTGATTCGTATCTCTGCTCCCTACCGCGTCTGTATGAAACTTGAAGGGATTCTTCTTCTGGGTTTGAAGTAAGTCCTTTTGTGGGTTTGAAGTAGGTTCGTCTACAGGGAGTTTGACCTCGGGTTAGTTAAGCCCGAACCTAAACCAAACTCTTAAGCCCTAAACCTAGATCCCAAAAACCCTGAACCCTACACCCCAAACCTTTATGCCTAAACCCTAAACCCTAAACCCTAAACCCCAAACCTTTATCCCTAAACCCTAAACCCTAAACCCCAAACCCCAAACCTTTATCCCTAAACTATTGCAGGGCACTGTTTGGGCAGGGCTTCCTGCTAGGTGTCTTGGCTTGCTTGTCGCTTCAGCCGAAGGACTTGGGGCTTGGACCCATATAGCCTGAAAGCCTAAACCCTACGCCCTGAACCCTAAACCCTAAACCCTAAACCCTAGGGACCTTCAGAATAACCAACGGTGACCGTACCTTGGATATTGCTGGGGTTCCCGTGTGGTTTAGGCTTTATGGTTTAAGGGTTTAGGGTTTCAGGGGTTTGGGGCTGAGGGTTTCGGAGGGTTTGGGTTTAGGGTGAGGGGAGGCCCAAGCACCCCCCACCAAGGGGGCGAGGTTTGCATGGGTTGAGTTGGGTACGTTTGGAGTTCTCAGGGTCCTAGTGCTGATATAATCCTTCTGAAACCCGTCGAAATTGTGAAGGGCCCGTGAAGGGTGGAGGGTTGTGAGGATTTGTGGTTTGGAAAAGGATACACCCTTAACCCGAAGCCCTAACACACCAAAACCCTAAACCCTAAACCCTGAACCCTAAACCCTAAACCCTAAACCCCAAACCCTAATCCCTAATCCAACCCTAAGCCTCTAAACCCCAAACCCTAAACCCGAAACCCTAAAACCCAAACCCCTAAACCCTAAACCCCTAAACCCCTAAACCCTAAACCCACCCTAAACCCTAAACCCACCCTAAACCCCAAACCCTGAACCCTAAACCCCCAACCCTAAACCCCAAACCCTACACCCCAAACCCCAAACCCCAAACCCTAAACCCTAAACCCCAAACCCCAAACCCGAAACCCTAAACTCTAAACCCTAAACCATCGCGGGATCTCCTTGAGCACGCCTAGGGCCTCCTGCTTGGCAGCCTCCCGCTTGGACTTGATGGCCTCCGGGTTTAGGGTTTAGGGTTTAGGGTTTAGGGTTTAGGGTTTAGGGCTTAGGGCTTAGGGTTTAGGGTTTAGGGTTTAGGGCTTAGGGCTTAGGGTTTAGGGTTTAGGGTTTAGGGGCTTAGGGTTTTGGGTTTAGGGTTTGGGGTTTAGGGTTCGGGGTTTGGGGTTTGGGGTTTGGGGTTTAGGGTTTACGGTTTGGGGTTTAGGGTTTAGGGTTTGGGGTTTGCGGTTTAGGGTTTGGGGTTTAGGGTTGAAGGGTTTTAAACCCTCTACATCTTAAACCGTTTAAGATTTTAAGATCGGTGTCACTGGTTGCTCAGGGACGTCATTTGCCTCTGCTCCATGTCGCAGTCAGCCCTCAACCCTCAACCCTCAACCCTAAACCCTAAACCCTAAACCCTTTTGAGACCCTGAACCCCCAAACCCTAACCCCAAGCCCTAACCCCTGTGAACCCTGAACCCTCGACCCCAAGTTCACCGCTTAAGCCCTAAGACCCTCTGAACCTGAACCCCTTTGAACCCCAAACTCTGAACCCCTTTGAACCCCAACTCTGAACCCGCAAGTCCCAAACTGTAGCAACCCTAAACCCTGAACCCTGATCCCTAAACCCTAAACCCTAAACCCTCAACCCTCAACCCTCAACCCTAAACCCCAAACCCCTAATCCCTAAACCTAACTTCGGCCTGCTGCATGAACTTCATGCCCAGCAGGCCCTTCGAGGGCAGCTCGCCCTCTGCGTCCAAATCCCTGCGTGGAGGGTCTGGGGCTTAGGGGTTTAGGGTTTAGGGTTTAGGGTTTGGGGTTTGGGGTTTGGGGTTTGGGGTTTAGGGTTTTAGGGTTTTAGGGTTTTAGGGTTTTAGGGTTTTAGGGTTTTAGGGTTTTAGGGTTTTAGGGTTTTAGGGTTTTAGGGTTTTAGGGTTTTAGGGTGTTAGGGTTTTAGGGTTTTAGGGTTTTAGGGTTTTAGGGTTTTAGGGTTTTAGGGTTTTAGGGTTTTAGGGTTTTAGGGTTTTAGGGTTCTAGGGTTTTAGGGTTTTAGGGTTTTAGGGTTTTAGGGTTTTAGGGTTTTAGGGTTTTAGGGTTTTAGGGTTTTGGGGTTTTAGGGTTTTAGGGTTTCAGGGATTTTAGGGTTTTAGGGTTTTAGGGTTTTAGGGTTTTAGTGTTTTGGGGTTTTAGGGTCTTAGGGTTTCAGGGATTTTAGAGTTTTAGGGGTTTAGGCTTGCAGGGTTGCAGGGTTCTTTGGTTTTTTTGGTTTTAGGGTGTTAGAATTTTAGGGTCTTAGGGTCTTAGGGTTTGGGGTTTGGGGTTTGGGGTTTAGGGCTTGGGTTTAGGGGGTTTAGGGTTTGGGCTGGGGTTAGGGGTTTGGGGTTTAGGGTTTTGGGGTTTACGGCTTGGGGTTTGGGGTTTGGGGTTTTAGGGCTTAGGGTTTACAGGGGCAGCGGCTTGGATGTTCGCAGTCCTGCCACGAATTACACATGGAACAGGGTACAAGATACATGCGCCAATGCCAAAAATCCCAAACCCAAACCCAGCACCCTAAACCCTAAACCGTAAACCCTAAACCCTAAAGCCTAAACCCTAAACCCTGAACCCTAAACCCAAAACCCAAAACCCTAAACCTCAGTTGGTGGCGCATGGCTGACGTAAAAAAAACCCAAAACCCTAAACCCTAGACCTTCAAGACTGGTTTAGGGCTTAGGGTTTCGGGTTTAGGGTCCAGGGTTCAGGGCTTCGGCTTTAGGGTTTGGAGTCTAAGGCTTAGGGTTTAGGGTTTAGGGTTTAGGGTTCAGCATCTCAAGTCCAAGCATTTCACTAGTAGAGCTCCTTACTCCGGTATCGAATATCGACCCACCCACCCAGTGGATCCCATAACATTATGAAAAAATTTTACTTTATGTTTTAATCTTAAAATTTTTGGTTCAGTCGGCTGCCGCCCAGGGTGGGCCCTAAACCCTAAAGGCAGCCCAGAGCAGGGCCTAACCTCAATAAAACCAGCCCCGAGCAGGCCCTAAACCCTAAAGCCAGCCCAGAGTAGGCCCTAAACCCGAAAGCCAGCCCAGAAGCCAGCCCAGACTAGGCCCTAAACCCTAAAGCCGCCCAGAGTAGGCCCTAAACCCTAAAGCCAGTACCGAGTAGGCCGTAAACCCTAAAGCCTGCCCAGAGTAGGCCCTAAACCCTAAAGCCAGCCCAGCCAAGAGTAGGCCCCCCGAGCAACCGGTAATTTTGGTGGAAAACCGGGAAATTTTGGTGGAAAACCGGGAAGTTTTGGTGGGAAAACCGGGAAGTTTTGGTGAAAAACCGGGATGTTTTTGTGGAAAAACCAGGAATGTTTAGTGGAAAAACCGGGATGTTTTGGTGGAAAAACCGGCAAGTTTTAGTGGAAAGACCTGGAATTTTTGGTGGAAAAACCGGGAAGTTTTAGTGGAAAAACCTGGATTTTTTAGTGGAAAACCGGGAGTTTTTGGTGGAAAACCGGGATTTGTGGAAAACCGGTAAGTTTTAGTTGAAAACTGGAATTTTTAGTGGAAAACCAGGGTTTTTTTGTGGAAAACCGGGAGTTTTTAGTGGAAAAACCGGGAAGCCATTAGCCATTAAATATACATAGGATAGAGAGGGTTTAGGGTTTAGGGTTTAGGGTTTAGGGTTTAGGCTTTAGGCTTTAGGCTTTAGGCTTTAGGCTTTAGGCTTTAGGCTTTAGGGTTTAGGGTTTAGGGTTTAGGGTTTAGGGTTTAGGGTTTAGGGTTTAGGGTTTAGGGTTTAGGGTTTAGGGTTTAGGGTTTAGGGTTTAGGGATTAGGGTTTAGGGTTTAGGGTTTAGGGTTTAGGGTTTAGGCCTGGGTAGCTCTCTAGTTTAGGGTCCCTTTTTTGGGATCCCGTTAAGAGGTGCCGCCGTATAATTCGGTACCCAAGAAGGGACCCTAATTTAGGAAACTCCTCACATAGCGGGCTTAGAAGTTTAGGAGCTTGTAAACCCTAAACCCTGAGAGCCTTAGGGCTTCCAAATAAGGAGGTTCCCTTCCGTCAACTTAAAAACCTAAACCCTAAGCCCTAGGCCCTAAACCTTACACCCTAAACCCTAAGCCCTAAACCCTACACCCTACACCCTGAACCCTAAACCCTAAACCCTAAGCCCTAAAACCTCAACTCGAAGCATGAGGTTGAAGGTTTCGGATGCAGGCTTTAAGTTCAGTCTTTGAGGTTTAGGGTTCAGGGGTTTAGGGTTCAGGGTTCAGGGGTTTAGGGTTCAGGGTTCAGGGTTCAGGGGTTTAGGGTTTAGGGTTTAGGGTTTAGGGTTTAGGGTTTAGGGTTTAGGGTTTAGGGTTTAGGGTTTAGGGTTTAGGGTTTAGGGTTTAGGGTTTAGGGTTTAGGGTTTAGGGTGGCACACTCGATCTCTGGGTCTCCGGACCGGATCTCCTCCACGGTGAGGCGCTTTGCCTCGCGACTTCTGTGTTTACAGCAAACTCCAAGAAGTTGGAACATCCTTATCCCCATGTTTAGGGTCTAGGGTTTAGGGTTTAGGGTTTAGGTTTAGGGCTTAGGGTTTAGGGTTTAGGGTTTAAGGTTTAGGGTTGAGGGTGTAGGGTTTAGGGTTTAGGGTTTAGGGTTTAGGGCATCCTGATCCCCATATCACAAAAGGTGTACTAAAGGAAAAAACAGCTAGAATCATCCTTAAACCATGTTCCAACTTTCTGGAGTTTTCTGTAGGCCATGGTAGGGAAGGGGGGGGGGGGGGGGGGGGGTTGGGTTGCAGGAATTGGGTTAGGGTTTAGGTGTTTAGGGGTTAGGTGTTTAGGGTTAGGTGTTTAGGGTTTGGGGTTTGGGGTTTAGGGGTTCGTTTAAGGGTCTAGTTAGGACTTGTTAGGTTTCAGAGTTTCGGGCTTCTGGTGTGAGGAGTTTAGGGTTTAGGGTTGTTTAGGGTTTAGGATTAAGGGTTTAGGGTTTAGGGTCGAAGATAGGTCTTAGGGTTTAGAGCTTAGGCAAAATCACCCTAAACCCGAAACCCTAAACCCTCAACTACCAACTGCACTTCCACTGCAGCTCAAAGCTTGGAGAGCGGGTGGGAGGGTTGGGTTTGCTGAGAGAGGGGGCACTGAGGGATGCGGGAGGGTTCGCGCCTAAGCCCGAAACCCCGAAACCCCAAAACCCCAAAACCCTAAACCCTAGACCCTAAACCCTAAACCCCAAACCCTAAACCCCCTTTTTTGGGGCAACCCGCAGTTGAAGGTTGTTCAACTGGCTGGTTCTTAGTAGGGAATGCGGGAATTAGGGCCCTATAAAATCTCTTAAAGGGTGTAAATACAGGGCCCCTATACAATCCCCTAACAGGTATATATAGGGCCCCATGTAATCCTTAAAGGGTGTATATGGGGCCCTAATTCCCTCCTTCCCTGCTAAGGCCCAAGAGTTTAGGGTTAAGGGTTTAGGGTTCAGGGGTTTAGGGTTCAGGTGTCAGGGGTTAGGGTCTAGGGTTTAGGGTTTAGGGTTTAGGGCTGAGGGTTTAGGGTTTAGGGTTTAGGGTTTAGGGTTTAGGGTTTAGGGTTTAGGGTTTAGGGTTTAGGGTTTAGGGTTTAGGCCCCATCTTCGCCTTGTTGATGGTGCTCTTCGCCACCGTCTGCTGTCCGTCGCCCTGGCGGGCAAGCCCTGAAGTCCCTTACACTTAGGGCGATTTGGGCTTTTAGGGGTTTTGAGGGTTTTTAGGGTTTTTTTCGGCTTTTTACGGCTTTTCGGGTTTTAGGGGTTTAGGGTTGGGGTTTGGGGTTTGGGGTGGTTTCGAGTTTGGGGCTTTGAGGTATTGGGTTTAGGGCTGGGGTTAGGGGTTGTTACCCACAAAGCCCTAAAGCTTGGGATTGTTTTTAGAGCGCTTCACGAGGCTAACCTAGGGTTACAAACGGTTGTTCATGGGGTGCGCATCAAGGACACCAAACCCTAAACCCTAAACCCTAAACCCTAAACCCTAAACCCTAAACCCTAAACCCTAAACCCTTAACCCTTAACCCTTAACCCTTAACCCTTATAAACCCTAAATCCTGCAAAAACAGTGACGCAAAGGGCACCGGGGAGGATCCCTTGTGCCCCGCCTCCTCGTCGTCGCTGAGGTCGACATGCTCGGAGTCGGAGTCTTTTGCATCCTGCCACATAGGGTTAGGGTTTAGGGTTTAGGGTTTAGGGTTTAGGGTTTAGGGTTTAGGGTTTAGGGTTTAGGGTTTAGGGTTTAGGGTTTAGGGTTTAGGGTTTAGGGTTTAGGGTTTAGGGCTTAGGGTTTAGGGTTTAGGGTGTAAGGTGTAAGGTTTTGGGTTTTGGGTTTTGGGTTTTCGGGTTCCGGGCGTAGGAAAGACAGAGCCAGCCAACAAACGGGAGAATGAAAAATCGTAGGCTTCGGGCTGAAAGTCCGGGGCCAAGGAGTTGGTTCTGGATTTCCGGTTGAGCGGTTGTATGAAATCTTATTGGGTTTACAGTCTAAGTTCGGGCCAAGCCAGGGCGTTGGGGGTGGCTTCCAGATTGGCGGAAGGTCCCAAAAGTTCTTACCTCCCCAACCGCTCAACCCCCAAAAGACTTAACTAGGGTAGGTGTGGGGGGCCCTATTAAAAACAACTATGGCTGTATAAGATTTCATACATAAGGAGTAGGGTACTAAAACCCACTAAATATTTTCAGATCAACCCCTGCTAACCCTTGTTAACCCCAACCCAAACTCCGGCGCCTTGCCGGCAATGGCTCTCCTTAGCGCCTGCTCCTCGTCGTGGGCCTTCTGTGCCTGACGGCGGTCCCTCTGAATTTCACAGGCGGTAAGCTGCGATTGTTACGGTTGTGGAACTCGCCTCGGCCTCCGGCCGATATGGGGGCTTCATGATAACAGGGGTACCTTACTGGGGTCCTTTTATAAAGGGATACTACTATTTGGGAGTCTATGTTTGGGGTCCCCTATTTTCGTAACCTCCCATATGGGCATGTCAACCAAAAACACCACGACCTAGTCTCCATCCCCCTTCCCAATCCCCGCACACCAAGCCATCACCCCCCCTCCCTCGCATCCTTTTGGTGGGCCGGGGTGGGAGAACCCCCTAAAGTTTAGGGTTTAGGGCTTACGGTTTAGGGTACTCTTGGCAATTCCCACCACCCGAACGCAAACAACAAGGTCGCAGCAACAAGTACACCGAAAACTTTACACTGCCTGTTGACACTCCAAGCCTTTGCCTTGCTATGAACTGAGGCAAAAGACTTCATGGGTTTTCCAGCAAGCCTATACTTCCCTTAAGGCTTGGCAGCTTTGGCGTCGTCACTCACACCGAGAGTTTGAAGCATGATTCGGCTTGGCTGAGCAGGCACGCCACAACTCACAACGGCTAAAGAAGCTGGCTCCATTGCAAAGCAAAAGAAGCAATGTGACTGTAGGGACCCAATTGCTGAGCTATGCAACGCTGTGCTGGCCTGCTTGGAGATTTCTTGCTGCGCATTCCGGTCTCCTTTGGCAAATCGCTGCATCGTCGAGGCCCACTTCTTCCTGCTCCAAGGCGATGGATCCGCATAAACAACCGAAACGTTAAATGCTCACTAGTCTCTACCAGGGTGCAAAGGCTACTACTGTAAGCCGCAAGCGCTCACTCGCTTTTTGCAACGAAACTCCGGAACACACAAACCTTAACGCATTCCATCGCTTGGGTGGTTTTGCCCGAAGGCTAGACCCAAAAATCACAAAACCCACACTTCTTGGTGCTTTGACACGGCCTGCTTGCCGTTCGAACCCTACGTCCAAGCGAAAGGATTCGAAACGGCTGGTTGTTCACGACAAAGCAACAGACCGAGGCAATCTTCTATTCCCGCCTGTGTGGGTAAATTTACGCTGACCGTTTGGCCGCACAGTTCCACCAGTAGCTAGTCGCTCATCAAAAAAAGCTCTTGAGATGCTCGGACTTTGCAGACAGAACACTGCTGCACATCTATCAGACACGCGGATGGACAGAATGGTGCGCGCATGCCCATGCGAGAAACCGCGAATGTTCAAGGTGTCAGACTCAAGGTATCTTCGAACCCTAACCCCTGAAAGGGCCTATATCTATATGGGCATTACCCCAAACAGGGGTACCCTTAATATGCCCCCAAATAGCATAGTCCTTATTCTAGGAACCCCCAAAGCGGGTACCCCTCTTTTCGGAAACCCCCACATAGGCGGATAGAAGGCTCCTCATTCCCTACTTTCAATAGGCAAAGACAGACCGCGGCAGCCGTGCCACACAGGCGGGCGTAAACCGAAATGTGCACCAAACCTCCAGGGTCGCCAAGCATCTCCAGTCCAGTAGCTGCTTGAAAGTTCACTAGAGTTTAGGGTTTAGGGCTTGGGGTAGTTACAAGTGGTGCTCTAAGCCGGGTAACTCCCTAAGCACTAAAGCCGAAAACCCGAAACCCTGAACCCTAAAACCCGAAACCCTGAACCAGCGATTAGGCAAGTGCGGGAGGAGAACAAGGCGTGGCCGGCAGCAAGGTCACCTTTTCGCGCTCTACACCCTGAACCCTAAACCCTTAACGCTTAAACCCTAAACCCCCTTTGAAACGCCCCTCCCTTATAAGGTGACGGTTTCTTCGGGGTTTTGGAATGTCGGGGTTGACAGACAGGTTTTGGGGGTTTCCGCGTTTCGGGGTGTTGGGGATTAGGGTTCAGGGTTTAAGGTCTTAGGGTTCAGGGTTTTAGGGGGTTTAGGCTTTCGGGTTGTTTTAGGGTTAAGGGCTTAGGCGAGCTACTATTTGCTTAAGAAACCCCGAAAACAACATATTCTTCCTTATGACGGAAACACGCGCTACTATTTGCTTAAGAAACCCCCCAAAAACAACATTATTCTTCCTCATGATAGAAATACAGGTTTTCTCTCTTTCTTATTGTTTTTTTCGGGGGAAGGGACGGGGGGGGACACGGTGCCAAAAACGATCAAACAAGCAGTCGCTGCGGAGGAAGGCACTGAAGCTGCCCAGGCAACATGCTCGTTCTTGCTCTCACGGCGGACATCTTGTCCCGAACGTGTGTACTTTACAACCATCCCGCAGCGAGGCTGCCTGACGCACTTGCAGTACACATAGCTGAACCTGGCTTTTTGTGGACCTAAGCCCCATTCTGCCGTGATGATTCCTGCCATGCTGCCGTTTTGGCGCGCCAGGGTGGCCACCTCCCACTCGTTGTCGCGGAGATCTCGTCGGGTCACGGTGACGTCCTCCTCCGCCGGAGGTTCTTTGTCTAGCACCAAAGCACCTTTCCGCGACATCTGCTGCAGCGGGTGCGGTCTGACGCCGAAACGCAGCTTCATAAACCGTTCGCCGAAGTCACTCAAGCTCCTAAACCCCATCGAAGAACCCTAAACCCCCAACCTAAGCCCCTAAACTCCGAAACAAAAACCCAAGCCCCTAAGCATGAAGAGCATACTCCTTCAGGCTCCCCTAAAACCTACCCCAAACACTTCTAAGCCCCAAACCCCAAACGCTTGCTGATGCGGTGTTGAGCTGACTTTGACACGGGCAGAGCCATGATATCAGGGGCAAAGAGGACATGGAGTCCAGTAGGGAATGAGGGAAACAGGTACCCCATAGAATCCCCCAAACGCTTTGGGGTGTAGGGTTTAGGGTTTAGGGACTGAGGGACTTAGTTTTGGGCTTTGGGGTTTGGGCTTTAACGTTAAGAATGAGGGAATTCGGTACCCTACAGGATTGCTAGAGGTTTTGGGGTGTAGGGTTTAAGGAATGAGGGACTTAGGTACCCTATAGCAACCCTTGCAAGGGACAGACGGGACCTAATTCCCTCATTGCCAACTAAGAATCATCAGGGGGCTTCAAGGCAAAGGTTTTGGGCCTTCCGGCGTAATTGGGGTTTTGGGGTTTGAGGCTTGGGGTTTAGGGTTTAGGGTTTAGGGTTTGGGGTTTGGGGGTTGGGGGTTGGGGTTTGGGGTTTGGGGTTTGGGTTTAAGCCGGCTTTCGAGCCTGAATCTACAAGAGCCATTTGAAGAGCTACGCAAGGGTATTCCAAGACAAACCATGGATCTGGTACGGAGCTCGGGTTTAGGGTTTAGGGTTTAGGGTTTAGGGTTTAGGGTTCAGGGTTTAGGGTTTAGGGTTTAGGGTTTAGGGTTTAGGGTTTAGGGTTTAGGGTTTAGGGTTTAAAGGGTTTAGGGTTTAGGGTTTAGGGTTTAGGGTTTAGGGTTTAGGGTTTAGGGTTTAGGGTTTAGGGTTTAGGGTTTAGGGTTTAGGGTTTGGAGCTCTTGCTCAATATACACTAAACGCGAGCTCCTTTGTAGGTCGACGTGATGTGCCAGAAAGGGAAACCATGCTCTTGACCATCTGAAGCCGAGCAGCGATCTTATGCTCAACCCTAAACCTTAAACCCTAAACCCTAAACCCTAAACCCTAAACAACGTGCCTTGCATTCCTCTGTCGGAGCAGCCGTCGCTCGGCGTGCTTCTTCTCGTAGTCCTCTGCTCTTAAGCACGGCTGGCTGCGAATCTCGGGTATAAGGGCTAGCGCGTAGGGTTTAAGGTTTAGGTGTGTAAGGTTTGGGGTTTAGGGTTTGGGGTTTAGGTTTGGGGTTTCGGGTTTTGGGTGTGTTTAGGGCTCCGTGTGTAGGGCTCAGTGGCCCATACCTTAGAAGACTCCCAAGGGTTTAGGGTTTAGGGTTTAGGGTTGGTTTAGGGTTTAGGGTTTAGGGTTTAGGGTTTAGGGTTTAGGGTTTAGGGTTTAGGGTTTAGGGTTTAGGGTTTAGGGTTTAGGGTTTAGGGTTTAGGGTTTAGGGTTTAGGGTTTAGGGTTTAGGGTTTAGGGTTTAGGGTTTAGGGTTTAGGGTTTAGGGCCACATCAGGGACCAAGGAGCTGCCTCGCAAGATCTTGCGGTTTTGGGACTTGAGGGTTTTCTGGGTGGAGGTTTCAGGGTACCCTAAACCCTAAACCCTAAACCCTAAACCCTAAACCTTAGACCTGTAGGTTCCGGGGTGTGCAGCTCTGAGAGTAGGTGGGATGGCTCTTCCAGAGCTTTCCCTAAACCCTAAACCCTAAACCCTAAACCCCCGAACGCTATGAAATTCAGGGGTATAAGGAGGGACCCTTACATACCGAAGTGCCCCTAAATGACCCCCGAAATAACCACAAGGGTCCCTCCTTTAGTCCCTGAGTATGAGAAGAGATGTCTACATAAACCCTACCACATCGCCCGAACTCCGAAACCTCACCATCAGCCTAGGCTGTTTAGGTTCTCCAGCGTTTAGTGCTTCATGGTCTAGAGGGTGTATGGGGTTCAGGACTTAAGAGTTTACACGAGAACCTCTCTCACTCTCTGCCAAGCAGAGGGCAGGTCCAAGGTTTGAACTACTTGGTGGTGACAGACTTTAAAAGAAAGACTGTCGGCAACCCTAGTCAGAAAAAAAAAAGTAGAGAAATGCGGTCGACCTAGTGGATGAGGTGCAGCTTGAAGAAGTCGACTCTGTCGTTGCAGTTGATAACATCGAAGGAAACGAAACCATGTCGTAAACGGGCGACAGGCTGTTCTGAACGGGGAGGTGGGGAGGAGGGGGAGCCTTGCCACAACAACTCTTGCCTAGGCTCCGCATGTCAAGTGGCGCAAATCCCCCCCCCCCCCCCGACTCCTACTTGAAGCTTTCAAGGGTAGCTATAAGTGATGTCAGCAAGCAGAGCCGCTGTAGTTCTACCCTATCCTAACCCTAATCCCTAATCCCGAAACCCTAAACCCTAAACTCCAAACCCTAAACCCTGAACCCCTATTCTAACCCTAATCCTACTGAACCTTCTAGGAAGCAATCACGCCTGAGCAGGCGGCGCCTAGAATATACTTGGAGGTGCATGGGTACGTATAACCCAATTCTAGCTATACTTATAAGCCCCCGAAGTCTCTTAAGTAAGTTATGAGTAGGATACTTGTAACACAATTCTTGACTATACTTATAAGGCCCCCGAAGTCTCTCTTAAGTAGGTTACAAGTAGACTTGTCGTTGGGGGGTATAGGTACCCATGAGGGATGTAAATGTCTTGCCAAGCTGCAAGGATAAGGCGCTCGGAATCATTATGGCGACGGCAACACAAGTTCGGCCCTTTTCGCTCCAGCTGTGGCAAGAGGCCGTGAAGCTAGAATCAGCTAGATGAGCCCAGCCCTCGCCGACTACACCTATGCGACGGAGGCCACGTGACCGAGCCCAGCATGAACACCGAGACGACGTCGCCATTCCTCAGAGCAAGCCTTGCCAGAATCTAGGGCAGGCCTGAAAGAGCCTTCTCTTTCGCCCAGGGGGGTCCGTGAAAGGTGACCCGAAAGTCGAATCTCCAGGGGGAAGAGCTCGAAACTGCCACCGCGACTCCCTGTGAGCCCCTCATCAGCTGCCCACTCCCTCGCCGCAAGCGTCCAGCAGCTGCACCACTTTCTCCTTGGTAGCCCAGCAACCATATTATAATAAGGGCACCCTGTTTTTTGGGGTTGGTCTTTTTATAAGGGAACCCATAACCAACAAAAAAGGGGCACCCTTTTTTGGGTTGGTTATTTTATAAGGGAACCCATAATAAAAAAAAGAAAAAAAAGTAAAGGGTTCCACTGGGCTACCAAGTCTCCGGCAGCAGGCGGAAGTTCCCGCCCCCTGCCTCCCGGTGCACGAAGCCGCCCCTGGCAGTGAAGAAAGGCGCTCGGTTCGATACATGGGTGGCTTCCTAAGTTTAGGGTTTAGGGTTTAGGGTTTAGGGTTTAGGGTTTAGGGTTTAGGGTTTAGGGTTTAGGGTTTAGGGTTTAGGGTTTAGGGTTTAGGGTTTAGTTTTAGGGTTTAGGGTTTAGGGTTTAGGGTTTAGGGTTTAGGGTTTAGGGTTTAGGGTTTAGGGTTTAGGGTTTAGGGTTTAGGGTTTAGGGTTTAGCGAAACCCTCGAAACCCTAAACCCTAAACCCTAAACCCTAAACCCTAATCCCTAAACCCTAAACCCTAAACCCTAAACCCTGCCAGAGGCCGCCCTTTAGAACCTGCCCAGGCCCCTATCAACGGGCACATGGGCAAACTCCAGCCGCAGCTTAGACGACCCCAAACAGCAAACCCAAGCGCTAAACCCCAAACCCCAAACCCTAAACCCCAATAAGGCCTAACCCAAACCCTAAACCCCAAACCCTAAACCACAATACGCCTTAAACCCCAAACCCCCAAACCCCAAACCCAATACCCTGAACCCCAAACCCTAAACCCTAAACCCCAAAACCCTAAACCCTAAACCCTGAACCCCAAACCCCAAAACCCTGAAGGCCTCTCGAGATCTTTACGAATGCGGCCGCAGTCGGGAGCTTTGGCGCTGACGTGGTGTCGCGTGGCGATGATCCAGTCCACCTTGTCAAGAGGTTCTTAGGGTTTTGTAGGGTTTCAGTAGGGTCTTTTAGGGTTTTGTAGGGTTTCAGTAGGGCTCTTAGGGGTTCTTAGGGTTTTTGTAGGGTTTCAGTAGGGCTCTTTAAGGTTGTTGTTGTCTTGTTTTAGGGGTGTTTCTTGGAAGTTTGGGGTTCTAGGGTTTTTGGTTACAAGGGTTTAGGGCTTACCTGGTTTTTGGAAGGAACTTTGGGCTTTTTGGCTTAGGGTCTTTCGGCTTGGTTTCAATGGACTTAGGGTCTTTAGTTTTTTTTTTTTCGCTTTCAGGTCTTTGCTCTTTGGGGTCTTTCGGGCTTTGGAGGGCAGAGAAACCCTCAACCCTAAGCCCTAAGCCCTAAACCCTAAACCCTAAACCGCCTGAACCCTAAACCGGGCTCAGCACTACACCGGTGGGACGCCAAGCGCTTTAGCTCCTTTCAGACCCAAGCCCCAAGCCCAAAGCCCAAAGCCCTAAACCACTAAACCCAAAACCCTAAACCCCTAAACCCCGAAACCCTCAACCAACAGTTCCACCCCAAAACTCTAAACTTCCTAACCCCCCCTCCCCCGCCTAGCCCCCCTCCGCCCTCGAAGAACCCTAGACTGCCAAAATACACACATGCACCTTCACAGAAGCCTGAGTCACGAAACAACCCTTTGATGAAGAAACACCCTAAACCCTAAACCCTAAACCCTAAACCCTAAACCCTAAACCCTAAACCACTCTTTCATATATAATATAAATGTTAATGGCTTTGCGGGCAGGGTCCGAAAATTAGTGGGCAAGGTCCGAAAATTAGCGGGCAAGGTCCGAAAAGTGGGCAAGGTCCATTGGCTGCCCCACGACCTTGCCCACTAATTTTCGGACCTTGCCCGCTGACCCACCACCTTGCCCACTGATTTTCGGACCTTGCCCACTAATTTTCGGACCTTGCCCGCTAATTTTCGGACCTTGCCCGCTAATTTTCGGACCCGGGAAAGGCCCGAGAATTAGCGGGCAAGGTCCGAAAATTAGTGGGCAAGGTCGGAAAATTAGTGGGCAAGGTCCGAAAATTAGCGGGCAAGGTCCGAAAAAGAGCGGGCAAGGTCCAAAAATCAGTGGGCAAGGTCCGAAAATTAGTGGGCAAGGTCCGAAAATTAGCGGGCAAGGTCCGAAAATTAGCGGGCAAGGTCCGAAAATCAGTGGGCAAGGTCCGAAAATTAGTGGGCAAGGTCCGAAAATTAGCGGGCAAGGTCCGAAAATTAGCGGGCAAGGTCCGAAAATTAGCGGGCAAGGTCCTTCCCCCCCCCCCCCACCCCCGCCCCCCCACCCCCCCCCCCCACCCCCGCCCCCCACCCCCCCCCCCACCCCCCCCCCCACCCCCACCCCTCCCCCCCCCACAACCCACCCCACCCCCCCCCCCCACCCCCACCCCCCCCACCCGCCCCCCCACCCTGCCCCTCCAGCCCCCTTCCTCCCGCAACGGGTGTTGGTCAGTTGAAAACGTGTCTGACTTGGGTAGGTAAAGCTCTTTGGGGTAGGATGAAAACCTTATATTTTCTTAATGTTGTGGGATTCTTTGGGCGGGTGGGTTTTTTTTCCGTTGCCTGAACACACTACTGGCCTAGTAAATGCTCGAACTTGAGATGCTGAACCCTAAACCCTAAACCCTAAAACCCTAAACCCTAAACCCTAAACCCTAAACCCTAAACCCTAAACCCTAAACCCTAAACCCTAAACCAAATTGAATTCGGACATTCAAACCTAAGAAGCCCCGAAAGGCCCTAGCAGGCCTCGTTCTCCGAGTAGCTCCTGCCAGGCCAGAAGTGCAGAGTCAGCCTCGGCTTTTTGGGTTTAGGGTTTAGGGTTTAGGGTTTAGGGTTTAGGGTTTAGGGTTTAGGGGTTAGGGTTTAGGGTTTGGGGTTTGGGGGTTTGGGGGTTTAGGGTTCAGGGATTAGGGTTGGCTGTTTTATTTTTTTGGGGGGGGGGGGGGGGGGGTTCTTCTGGTCTTGGGGTGTTTTGGGGGTTTTGGGAGTTTGGGGGGAGAGGGTGTTGGGGGGGTTTGGGGGGGGTTTGCGGGTGTTTCGGGGGGGGGGGGTGGTTTGGGGAGTTTTGGGGAGT